GATACTATAAATCTAAAGAATTAAATAATTGATTCCAAATAGTTTTTCACCTTTCCTAGGATGGGCTCATTGGGAGTTTTCCTTGCATCATATTTATGTATAAAAGAGATGCATTCTATAAAATTCTTCTGAAGTTCTGCTGATGCATCAGGAGAGGCAAGTGGAACTAAAGGGAAAAAATAGAGATTTTGTGAAGTCAGGACAAAAATTATATTTGTATATGGAAATAAAATAAGTATTCATAATATTCATGCTTTATCAAAAGTGTGCTAATAAAATAGTTGTTTTAAGTATGGGAGTTTACTTACACACATCTAAGTAATAAATATAATGGATTCATTATTCTTTCTCAATGGGAAGAATCAAATCAAACCAATCAGATTAGCCTGACATGTGGAATTACTAGTAATTTAAAAACTAATATTAATGCAGTAATGGCTTAAAAAATCTTAGATATATTTCTTGCATAGATACCAACCAAAATTTTAGGAAAAGCATCAATATAATTTGTTTATCAACTTATTTTTTACTACTATAAAGGCTTTGAGAAATGGATGCATAAGTTGTTCCCAGCTGGCACTGACAATGAACTGGAGGACTCCAAAGTGCTACAGTTACAACTAAACACGATTCTTTTCATTTTGTCACTGACAGACATTCTGAAAATTTTCAGGACTATTAAACCCTTTAAAATCACTTTTAAATAATCTTTCAGTCTAGGTGATGGGTTCATTATATTGGTCTATGGTTAACATTTTTAATAATTTAAAAAACTCAATTTATTTTTACTTTCAGCAGATGAGTTTTATGTGAAAAATCTGAGCAAATCCCAGTTTAGAGAAGTAAAATTCTGTCAAGGAAAAAATTAAAATTTCTCCCTTTTATAAAAAATATGTATATAAGAGGTTGTGTATATCTATCATATCTATGGAATGATATGTAAGAAACTGGTAAGAGTGGTTGCTGCAGTGGGAGAGAATTAGGTGACTGGAGGACAGAAGTCAAGAAAGGTGGATTTGCTTTCACTGTATATCCTTTGAATTTTGTACTATATGCATGTATTAAACTATTAAAAAATAAAATTTAATTTTTAAAAATCTTGCCTTTAAAATTAGGGAGGATGTCTCCCTGTATGGTCCTGGAAGATGACTGGTTAGCCAGAGATGGGTAAGATTCCTCAAGGGAGGGACAACCTAAGATAGGCACAGTCACAGGGGGACCATCAGGTGAGAAATTGGGGATCAACAGTGGTGAGGCTTAGAACCTCACCCCCCCCTGTTTTGAGAGAAATCTTCTGCATCCGTGGATGTTTTAAGGCCCTTGTCTAGCTTGGATTAACACATAGTCTACAGGCACACACCTGATCATCTACAATTGCTCTCTTACAACACTAAACTATGTTTTCTACCTTTATCTTGCATCTACCTACCACTTCAGCAGTTTATTAAAAATAAAAATAATAATAATAATAAAGGGAGAAATGTGGGATCAATATATAAATCAAGTATAAAAATCAAACAAATATTCATATTTGACCTGATTGTTTATAGTTCATAATGCGTGATCAAAACCGAAAGTTTCTGTGATGAATGCAGAACTGTTGTACTGTTCACCGTGTAAGAACCGTGTAAGAACTTATTCACTATGTAAGAATTTGTTCACCATGTAAGAACTTGTTCATTATGCTTCAGAAGATTGGAGACTGATGAGAATTAGGCTTGAGATGGATTAATGATTGTGCATTGAGCACTGACCCCCCTATACAGAATTTTATTGTTGTTAACAACCATTTGATCAATAAATATGAGAGTTGCCCTCTCAAAAAAAAAAAAAATTAGGGAGGATGTATAAGGAGACATATGTTAGTAAGTTCACGTTTACTAAGCATTCATGAATTCAATATCCAACATTGATATAAACTAATTTTACTAGCATAAATGATGACTATTCAAATATTTATATATTACATGATATTAAATGGCTTTTCAGTTCTTTTCCCAGTTAGCAGGAAAAAATGCTAATTCATAACATTTTCTTGATTTCTAATTGAGATCAGTTACTCAAAACTCATTTTCTATTTAATCATTACCTTTCTTTTAGGATTTGCCAGCACACAAAAGAACAGTAGGTACCAAAGATTTAATAACAATTTATAAACAACTATGACATTGTGAAAATTTTAACCTTAACTTATATTTTTTAGAACCACTTGGGAAAATTGGGTGAATGCCATGGTCTAGCTCACAGAACATTAGTGTTTTCAGAAACATAGTTTGATAACCTCTTGAATAAAATGAAGTAACTCTAAATTTAGGCATTAATTAGTTGGGGTTAGTGGAATATCCAAAGCATGGGCTTTGGGATAAGACAGACATGTTTCAAATCCAGTTCTACCACATTTCCTACTTGTATGATTTTGGACAAATCACTTCAGTGAGATTCAATTTTCTCCTCTCTAAAATGGGGATAGTAATTTGCTTTCTGAATTGTGAGGATGAAGAAAATGTTTATAAAATCTCTAGTATGCTGGGATTATATTAAAGAGGCTTCAAATAGGCAAGGAGTCAGTTCTTTTTTATAGTGATGAAAGGAGAAACCATGGAATGGAGAAGAAGCATGAATCTGATCAACTATCAAAAAGCTGTAAGAAATTTAGTAAATAGGTATGAGGGTTGGTGGCAACTTGGGCTGGGGGGTAGGGAGGTCAGATGCAGCCAAGAGAGAACAGGTTGTGGAGAGCTTTTAAAATCTGCTCTTAGCTTCTCTCCCACATTGCCTTGGGAAGATCATTGCTTGCTTCAAGGCCACAGTAACTGGCAGCAATTGCCTAGCCACCTGTTGTCAACTTAGTAACATCCAAATAGCACAGAAGTCCCCTCAGAGTAAGGAGCTAATGAAAATGTGTGCATGCTGCCCCCTTGGGCATTTGCTTCTCCACCATTCCACAACAACCATCTGTGCTGGGAAACTAAAATCATCAAGAGACTGCCTTCTTTCAGTGATACCTCTTTTTTTAAAACTTTAGATGGGGGGAGGAATGGAGTCCTGAAGAGAGGACTGGCCTTGTACAGTGACAGAAAATGGAGATGGTCAAACTGGTTTTGTGAGGCCTGATGCTCTCCAGCCTGACCCTAATTTTCTTTCCTTAATTCGCTGGGAGGCACACAAACCACACCCTACTCTTTAGCCTTTGCTCCCATAGGGCTGCTGATTCCCCTCAGGGATCATGACCTAAGATAAACTAGACAGACACTGTAGAAGACAGACAACAAAGTCAAAAACATGTGAAGCTTCCACTATGGGAAGCTGAATAATTAAACCAGTACTCCCAAGAATCCAAAGAGCATAAAAATATCCTCAGAGGCATGGAAGGTATTATTAATATGAAGCAAGAGTAAAAGGTCTTAAAAAAGAATCATGTAAAATATTAGATATCAAACAAAATATAATAATTGAAATAAAAGAGTAAAGATAAGATAAATAACAAGATTCATGAATGAGAAAATCAGACTTGGAAGCTTTTTCCCAGAAGGAAAGGATAAAGAAATTAAACTATAAATGAAGAACTAAGAGACATGAAAAAGAGAAGTACTAACACTGGTATTGGCTCCACACGTGTGGTGTTACATAGCCACCCAGAAGACAGCCACAGGGAAGGATGGAGTTGGACTATGGGCTGTGGCATTTGAATCCCAAATTTTATATTTTGTTTGAGAAACATCCAGAGTGACTGGTGGGGCTGTGCTTCCCAGTGCATTGTTCATGTGGAGATGTGAATGCCTACTGTTTAAGGTATCTCTTTAAAGTGCTGTGTGAGTAAACATTTTTCACTTGCAAATAAAAAAAGAGACCTAGATAAAGACTTAGATGAAGAAAGAGTCCCAGATGAAGAAGTAGAGGGAAGGAAATAATTGAAGAAACAATGATATATATTCAAGAATTAAAGAAAGATCAAAGACCTCAGATTTAAAGAGCTCACAGATTACCAAAATGTTAGCAGAGTCAGGAATAAGATGAGGCAAGTGAAGCCCATGGAATGAAAAATTTAAGGAGACACTGCTTGACCCTGGGAGTGCCTCTTTAAATTTTGTACCCTGGGTGCTCACTCTCCTCCCAATCCTGTGGGGTAGGTAAAGAAACACTCACATTTAGGACACTTTGTAGAGAAATTTAAGGTCATCTGGGGCAAAGAAAAAAATTCTAGGTAGATTACCTACAAAAGAATAATAAGCAGAGCTATATCAAACTTCACAACAATATTGGACACAGGTGATAAGTAATTAATATTTTTAAAATATTAAAGGCAAAAGAACTTTAAGCCTAGAATTTTTATAACCAACTAAACTGTCATTCAACTATGAAGCCATAATAAAATATATTAGGAATCAATGAAGTCCTCAGAATATTTCCCTATAAAACAGACCTCCTTCAAAAAATTCCTAGGGGAACTCAAATAAGAATAGAAATAAAGAAGGTGCCTAAAATATATAGAGGAAAATAACAAAATTGTTTATTTCTTTAAAAAGACAAGGACTAAACAACAGAAAAGTAGGTATACATCAATAACAACTTGGAACTAAAATTCTACTGTTTAACGTTAATAGACTGGTGAATGTTATTTTTGAAAAAAAGAAAGAAAAAAGTAGTAAAATGATTGATTGCAAAGGAAAAGAAAACATCTGTCATTATTTGTAGGTATAATTACCTGAATAGAAAAAAATAGTACAATAAAAATATGAGATTAAGAGTGTGTTAAGTAAGCTGATAAGTGTATAAAAATCAAAAGCATTTCTCTGTAAGGATAACCTACTAAAAAACAAATAAAAAATAAAACAGTCCTTGTAGGAACAAGAACTATACAGTATAAAGTTTCTAGAAATTGGCAAAGAACTCATAACACCTCTATACAGAAAAAAATTTAAGCTCTGTTAAAGACATAAAATTAGACCTGAATTGACTTTCCATACTCTTGGATAGGATGAGATAATATGTTACTGTAAAGGTGACATTTTTTTCTAAATGAATCTATAGTGTCAACACAATCCAATCAAAATTTCAGCTGGATATTTGTATTCCAAAGTTTAAATGGGAAAATAAAGGTCCATAAATAGGTCAACTCTGAAAAGGAAGAGCAAAGAATGGGGACTTTCCTTATCAGATATAAAA